CTCTCTCTCTCTCCCTTCCACTCTCTCTGAAAAGCAATGGAAAAAAAATCATCAGGTGAGGATTTTTTTTTTAAATGAGAGAAGAACCTTGAAGTAGAATGAAGCTGAGAGCGTGCCTTGAAATGAGGAGAGGGAGGCAGGAGAGATGTCTGTGTGTGTGTCAGCCGCCCACCCCTGGATGCCTCAGGGGAGCGCCCAAAGGAGGGGGTCATCCCCTGGGCTACTCCTGGAGGTCGAGCCAGAGTGGAAAATAAGAATAAAAATGTTAGAAAAGAGAGGTCCATTTAAAAAATGACAGAGCCCGGCCGGGCATGGCTCAGCGGTTGAGTGCCGACCTAGGATCCAGGCGATCGGGGTTCGATTCCCGGTCAGGGCACATGCCCGGGTTGCGGGCTTGATCAGTGACTCTCTCATCATTGATGTCTCTATCTCTCTCTCTCCTCCTCTCCTTTCCTCTCCCTGAAATCAATAAAAGATATATTTTAAAAAATAAAAATAAATTAAAAATGGCAGACATTAGGTATCTCCGCTGTGATGCAGTGGGGGTTACACAGCATCACCTGTGAGAGGTTTTTGTCAGGGAACCTTGACCCTGAACCTGATTAAACTTCTAATGCTAACTACCCGCTTTCAGGGACGCCAGTGGAGAGGAGAACGTGCACACAGGCATGTATTTCTTCAAATCCAGAGCCGGGGGATGCCCTGTTTCTTGTGGCTTCCCTAATCCTGCTCATACCTTCAGTTACCCATTTCATGTATGTTATCTGTTTCTTGCTATGACCCTAACTGATACATTATCACTGAGCTGGAATTTTTCATTTTCATGCAGCCAATCTTACTGATTTGGGGGGGGAGAAGTTGGTATGTGCTTCGGAGACCTTATTTATAAAGTCTTTTTGTGCCCCTTGGTGAAAATATTCTTTCTTCTTTTTTTTCCTCTTACTTTTAGAATTTTACCTTTTATGTTTAGGCCTTGAATATATCCAGCCACCTTTGTATGTGATGGAGTTTTTGCATGGAGTTCTTTTTTTCCTATGGAGAGACAGTTTTCCCAATAATATATTTTCTCCATGCATTGAGGTGTCCTATAATTGTATATTAAGTTCCCATGTATACATAGTTCTGTCTCTGAGCTCCCTATTCCATACCATTGGTCTATTTGTCAGTTATTATATAATCTCTGTACTATTGTTGTTTTTTACTATGTCTTTATCGATTTCAGAGAGAGGAAGGGAGAGGGAGAGGGGGAGAGATAGAAACATCAATAACGAGAGAGTCGTCATTGATCGGCTGCCTCCTGCATGCCCCCGACTGGGGATCTTGCCCACAACCGGGGCATGTGCCCTGACCAGGAACCGAACTGCAGTATCCTGGATCCTTGGTCGATGCTCAACTGCTGACCTACACCTGGCCAGGCAATCACTGTACTGTTTTTATAAATATGGCTTTGTAATACCTTCTAGTGTCTTTTTCCCTTTCTCCCAGTTTTTGCTTTTCCCCCCAAAATTGACTTTTATTTATCTATATTTTTTAAATAGATTAAATTGCTTTTAAAAATCTAACTGAAATTAATACTTATTGCATTGACTTTATGTATTAATTTGGAACTATTTTTAATATTTGTCCTATATATTCTTTGTACATTAGTGTTGATAGCTGCCTGATACACCTGAAGCTTTATATTAGGTCTAAGTGTTTGTTGATGGTGTTGATTTTCTGTGTAGATGATCGTATTGTTTTATCTCTTCCTTTCCAATCCTTAAAACTGTGATGCCTTTTTCTGTCTTATGCAGTTTCCCAGGATACCCAGGACGATGCTAATCAGCAGCAGTAATATCAGTGTGGCAGAGACTTCTAATTGACCCCAATATCCATTCTCCCTTCTCTACATCAGGAGTTACAAATATTTCCTGTAAAGGGCCACATGGCAAATATTTGCCAGCTTTGTTGCAACTACTCAATTCTGCTTAGAGCATGACAGCCATCGTAAGCAATATGTAAACAAATGAGCATGGCTGTGTTCCAGTAAAACAGTATTTACAAAAACAGGTGAGAGCCATAGTTTGCTGACTTCTGCTCTACATCAATAGGAAGCCTTGAGTGTTAGCTGGAATTGGCCATCCAGAATAAAGAGTGTACTACTCGGCCACATCTGCAGCTAACTGTGGCCCTGGGACTAGTTCTGATCAAACAGATTAAGGTCATACAACTTCTAGAAGTGTCCTCACACAGAGAGAGAGAATGTGCCATTGTCCTCTCCTTTCCTTTCTCTTACCTGGAATGTCTCATGGCTGAAGTAGGGCAAGACAGCTTGAAATGCAGTAGAACCCACGTGTTGAGAACAGTGACTCAACAAAACAGAAGCCGCAGAGACCTTCAGACTTTATCTTAAACAGGCGTTGAACTTTTGCCAAGTGCTTTTTCTGCATTTTTTTATTTTTTTATTTTGTACTCCATTAATCTAGTCTTCTGTACTCCCTAAGCCTATTTTATTAATAAATGTTTTCTGATGTTAAACCATCTTTGAACTTTTGGCATATATGCTACTTGAACATATCTCTTAATACACCATTTGATTGGGTTAGCTAATGTTTTATATAGGGATTTGACATTTTCAGTCATTGTAGTGAAAATATTTTGTTTGAAATTAGTTAGAATTTGTTTTGTGGCCCAGTATTTGCTCAAATTTTTTAAAATGTTCCATTTTTCTTGAAAAGAATGAGTGTTCTGTAGGTAATGGGTACAGTGTACTAAATATATCCACTGGATCATAATACTACAATCTGGGGTTCAAAACATGTTTCCTTGGTGACTTTTTTTTGTCTGCTTGATCGATCTATCAATTACTAGAGAGATGGATTACAACCTCTTACTGAGAATATGGGTTTGTCAGCTTGTTCNGTCTGCTTGATCGATCTATCAATTACTAGAGATGGATTACAACCTCTTACTGAGAATATGGGTTTGTCAGCTTGTTCTGATATGTCCAAAACTTTTGTATATTTCCTGGCCATGTTATTCTGTGCACATATATTTAATACTAGTGTATCTTCCTGTTGAATTGAACTTTTATCACTACGAATGACCCTCTGTATTTCTATTAACACTTTTTGTTGCGAACTATACCTGATATCATTATTTTGGTTAGAATTTGCTTAGCATATCTTTTTCACGTTTTTGCTTTCAACCTCTCTTTTTTATTTTTTAAAGTATCTTTATTGTTGAAAGTATTACAAATGTCCCCTTTCCCCCCCATTGATCCCTTCCACCCTGTACCCCACCCCCAGGCCTTCACCCCACTATTGTCTATGTCCATGGGTTATGCATATATGCATTAAATTCTTATGTTAATCTCTCCCCACCCAGCCACCCAGCCACCCCCACCTTNTCAACCTCTCTTTTTCAGATGTGTCTCTTGGGCATATGGTTGGACCTTATTTTTATTCCGTCTGGAAGTTATTTCCCTTTAACAAGATAATTTTGTCTCCTGTATTTAATGTAATCAGCAACATCCTTGGATTCAGCACTAACCTTTTACTTTGTGCCTTTTCTTATCTACCTGTTTCATTCCTTTTCCTCCTTCCCGGCCTTCCTTTAGCTTCACATTGCTTTTCCTTTGTCCCCCTGCTGAGCCTGGAAGTCCCTGGCTCTGCCCCTAAGGGACTGACCTGAAGGCCACGCAGGGCGGAGCACTGTCCCTGCCCTGCCGGTTCAGGCCAGCGACCGCCCCCCCCAGCACAGCCTCCCCCTCTGCTTCCTGACCTCGCTCCCTCCCGACGTCCTGCGGCTGCACCCCCTTTTTCTCCTTCACGTTGACTTTACTCACCTTTTCCAAGAATCAGCTTTTCCTTTTATTGCTCATATCTACATTTTTATGTTCTAGTTCATTAATTTTTGCTTCTTAAAAAAATAAATCCCTTTCTTCTTTTTGGGGGGCTTATTTTGTTTTCTTTTTGAAGTTTCTAGAGGTAAATCTTAGCTTCTTTCAGCCCCGCCCTCCTTGGTGGTTCATGGACACGCTGAGGGCTGCGAGCGCCCCCTGGGCGCTGCTTTACGCCATCAAGCAGCCCGGAGCGCGCGGCTCTCCTGCTCCTTTGCGGTCGTTTGTCTGCTCTCAGCCACCACAGCAAGGAACCGTACAAATCTTAACTCTATTCATTCATGTATCAGTTCATAATTTCTCTTGTTTATCCTTCATAATCTTGCATGCTATGTACCACTGCTCTTTCAATGGAAATTAATTCCGACCAGTACGACACCCATGTCCAAATTTAATACGACCGCAAAGGGTTAAGTCACTTGAGTTGACTCTGATTTTCTCTTAAAGTGATCTAGGAAGGTGGTGAGAAAGGTCTATGCTGCAAGTCCTTTTTGGTTCTTTTGTTTTCATATCTGTGTTTTATTGTGATCAGAACATTGCTCCTGTTTATAAGCAATTAGTTGGGGACTTATTTGTGGCAAATTGTAAATTTTTGTTGACAAACCCGTAAGTGTCTGTAAAGTCTTGATCTGTTTGTCCTGTTAACTCCTATCCTGGGTTGTGGGTTCTGTTTATCTGGGGTCTTCCCTCCCATGGCACTGGTTTCCTCACGTGTTTGGTGACTCTTGGCAGGGGCTCAGCTTTCATTCATTGTATTTGTCGCCTGTGGCTGCTGCCTCTCTTCACTGTAATGCACGCAGCAGACACCAGGCGTTCCGTCTGAAGCTTTGCAAGCACTCAACACACAGGGCTGGTGCTGTTCCAGGGGTTGCTGGAAGGAGGATGGGCCCAGTAACAACGCTGTTTTCCAGCTGAGACTCAGAGAGCAGAGCAACTCTCCCTAAACCACATGACTGTAAATCACAGTCCCGCCATCTGGCCCAAAGCCCACACAGTTCTCACAATGACCCACTACCTGCCCAAGGCTTCCTAGTGCCAACGAGCCCGTCTCCCTTTCTAACACCCATAACCAGACAACTCAAAAGGTTTTGTATATTTCTCTTTTTACTCTAAAAAAAAAAGTTGGCAATAATAACCTGCAAACTGCAGAGAGTGACATAGCTTTCAGTCTCCCCGCCTCTCAGAACATCACTCCACATTCCTCAGACACCGTTCTCTCCCCTTCCCTTAAAATCCTAGGTGAAAACCCCGGAGAAAATGCAGGAGGCCCCCAGATAGGAGGATCCCCAAACGAGGGCCCGTCCACAGGTGAAGGCATTGAGGAAATAACTTAGGGGAGAGGAGGCTCCTGGCTGGCCTTCTTCAGCCTTGTCTCGCAGACCCAGCGGTAGGGTCTCTGGCAGACGTCATCATTCCAGCGGCCATCATTTGTGAAGTGGGCACAGTCCTCGCCTCCGCCAAGCCCATGCCCGAACCAGTTATCAGGCTGCTCTGGTCTCCAATTCCTAAGAAGGCCAGACAGATTGGAGCCCAGGAGGCCAGATCCTTAGCCCAGCTGAGGAGCCCCTCCTGCCCTTGGACCTGCCCAGCAGGGACAGCAGGGCCCAGGGAGGGGGTGACAATGCAGAGCACAGATACTCACTTGAAGCCCGTCTCATAGTCTGTCCCATCTACCCATCTCCAGGGCCCATTTTGGTCAGTGAGGCCCATCCAGGTGTTCACAGGGCCCATGTGGTGCTGGACAAATTTCTGGGGAGAGAGGAAGAGGGTGACCTCTCCGTAGAACAGCCAGGCTCCCAGATGAGCCCTCCAGAGCCCTCACCTGCTTCTCCCAAGAGCTGACCACCACCAGGTGGCTGTTCTCCAGCTGGCAGTACTTCTCAGCCTCGGGCCAGGACTTGGCCGTGCGAGAGAACCAATAGCAGCTGCCTTCGTGCTCCACCCAGTTAACCGGGCAGCAGTCCTTTTCCGAGCCTGGAAGGGGGAGGGGAGAGGGGAGAGGGGAGGGGCTGACGTGCTGCCTGGAGGGGAAGGAAGTAGGCGGGAAAGGGGGTCTGGGCATCCCTGCTTCCTCACCATTGCCTTGGAGGATGGCCAGCTGACAGCTCAGGCTTCGTATGTCAGACACAAAGGTCTTCACATGGAGCAGCAAGCTGGAGTGATCTGGGGAGGCAGAGGGCAGAGGTGGGGTGGGAAGGGAGAGTGAGGAGGCAAAGGAGGTCAGTGTGAACACTAAGGGTTGGGAAGGGTCTGCATCTGTATACAGGACGGAAGATCAATCACAGGTGCCCCTGCCACAAGACCCCAAGCTTGGCCTGAGCAACATCCTGTATACTACACATATGCACTGGCACCCAGGCTCCATCTCTGACCTTCACTCAGGTCCTGCTGCTGTTTCTCAAGTTGGGACTCCAGGGACTTCATCTTTCTGCCCACACCTCCTCCTGGGGGAGAAACTTGCTCAATGTCCCAACATCCCTAGCGTCCCACAGCCCTGGCATCCCCCGCCCCCAGCCTCAGCCCCAGCCCGGGCGCCCCTCACCCTGGGTGCGCAGGTCCTTGACCTCAGCCTCTGTGCTCACTGTGAAGTTGCTGAAGGTCTCTCTCAGAGCCTGCAGCTCCTCCTGCAGCTTGGAGTCTGGACGGGAGAAGGTGTGGAGTAGACAGAATGAGAGGGCTGTGTCCACTATCACAGCTACCAGCACTCCCCCCACCACTGCTCCCACCAAGCTCCCCCAACATTGCTCCCTTTCCTGCCCACCCCTGGGGCACCCACTCTGGGATCCGATCACACAGACAACCACCAACAGCAGGAGGCTGAGGCCCAGGGAGAGCAGGAGGAGGCGGGGTCCAGAGCAGAGCCGCTGAAACAGTGGTCTGCGGCTAGGAGGCGGTCCTGCAAGATTAGAGGACATCAGGGTCTCAGGGACATATAAAGGAGTGTGGGGCAGCTCTGGGGTCCTAGGAGGAGAGAAGGCTAAGGCTCCTCTTGTAGACTAGGAGGAATCACATAGGTTAAGAAATATGGGCTTGCCCAGCCAGTGCATCTCAGTGGTTGAGCGTCCACCCAGGAACCAAGAGGTCACCAGTCTGATTCCAGGTCAGGGCACATGCCCAGGTTGTGGGCTCGATCCCCAGTAAGGGGCACGCAGGAGGCAGCCAATCGATGTTTGTGTTTCTCCCTCTTCCTTTCTCTCTCTCTCTAAAAATCAATAGAAACATATTTTTAAAAAGAAAGAAAAGAAATATGGGCATGTCCTGGTCGGTGTGCCTCAGTTGGTGGGAGCATCGTCCCGTACACCAGGAGGTCACAGGTTTGATTCTCAGTCAGGGCACATGCCCAGGTTGCTGGTTTGATCCCCAGTCTGGGTGTAAAGGAGAGGCAACCAATTGACATTCTCTCACATCGATGTTTCTCTCTCTCTCCTTCTCCCTCTCTCTCTAAAATCAATAAAAGCATGTCCTCGAGTGAGGGTTAAAAAAAGAAAAAAAGAAATATGGGCAGTGGGTGACTGAGAGGCCAGGGGCAACTGGAAGTGGGGAAGGGGAGAGGGTCACAGATGGAAGCAAAGCTTTGGCCTGCGCGGGCATCTACCCTGCCCTGGGCTTTTGCTGACACCTAGTGGCCTGACTGTGTCAGTGCAGCTGATGACCCTCATCAGAGCCTTGAGGATGGAGTTTGTGAGCTGGAGACCCCTGGAGTGGGAGACCAGCTGGGGAGCCACTGCTCCTCTCTGAAGGTGGGGCAAGAGAAAGAGGTTTCTTTCTCTCTCCATGAATCCCACTGCTCTTTAGCTGGGAGCAGGAAGAGAAGGTGGAGTAGCCAGAATTCAAGTCCCTCCCACGCAGGGATCCCTGTCCCAGTGAGCTGGAATGTGGGAGGCCTCCCCTCCATTTTCTCCTTCCCTGTACCCCCTTTCCCCATCAAAGAGCACTGCCCACTCCCATCCCCCAAGAACTGGATCCTCTCTCAGCCCCAACAACGTCCCTGCTCACTTGAGAAAAATGAGGGTCTTTTTTTATTATTATTGATTCTTAGAGAAAATTGGGGCCCATACGAGAGGCAACCGACTGATGGCAAGGCAAGGGTCAAGAGGCATGCAGAAGCCTTGGGTACCACCACCAAGAAAGGGACTCCAGCCCCACGCCCTACACCTCCCCTAAGAAGGGCAGCTCAGAAGTTATGTTCTTGCGACAGGGGCAGACCCAGAGGCAGAGGCAGGGGTCACAGAAAGAAGCAGGATCTGAGGCAAGGAAGCCACAGCCACCTAAAGCCCACCCTTCAGAAAGAGAGGAAGGTGCCCCCTCACCTTGTCTGACACGATAGTCATTCTCCTCGTTGTCCAGATGCTGAAGATCTTGATACTCCTTTGTCATGGTAGGGCGACTGGACCTGGGACTAGGTCAAGGCTGAAGTTAGGGTTGAGATTGGGACCAAACAGAGTTGGGGTGTGGGTCCTTTTCCTTTAAAAGTGACCGGTGGCTACACGGAGACCTTCCTTCTTTCTCTTAATCCCTCCCAGGCCTGTCCCCCAAAATCCATCCTCTGAAGTTTTCCCACCCAGCCCCTCCCCTCCTGACAGCTGGTACCCCCCAACCCTCCCCAATCCACCCCCAGTCAGTTACCTGGCCTTTCTTCCCCTTTTACTTGCTGATGATCTCGAGGGTGACTCCTGGATCCCTCAATGCTGTGCAGATCCCAGACTAAGAAGGAAGCAGAAGCCTGGAGAACTGGGGTGTGCAGACAGCCCCCAGGCAATGGGAGAGGAAGGGGCAGGGTCCATACAAGGGCCTTGAGACCTGTGCTTACGCCTGTCTGCTTGTCTGTGTGTTCCTAACGTGCCGAACCTGGCATCTCCAGTGCCAGGGACTTTGGACTTAAACAGAGGTGGAAATGGATTTGGAACTCAGGGGATGTGTGGGGGTGGAAGCGGGGGATGGGTTGCCTCTGCTTTCCTTCCCAGGGAGCAGGAGTGTCCAGATCTGTCCCCTTCACCTCTACATGCTGGTCACCTCACTCATTGCTCGGTTTGGGAGGGGAGCCTAGAGGGCCAGGCTGCAATTCCACGGTTCCCTTCTGCCCCTTGCCCCTGTCACTTCCTGCCTCTGAATTCTCAGAATTGTGGGTGTCTCCAAATATCCTGACCAGGATCAGAGAAACCCATTCATTCTTTGCTCTTGCCCAACCTGGGCCTGTGACCCTAGCATCTGAGCCTAGGCCCCAGCTTCCTTAGGGGCTCAACCTCCGGACTCCCCAGCTGACTGGCTTCAGTCTCCTGGGGAGTAAAGTTCCCCAGCAGCTCGGGGGACAAGGCATGGGGAGAGGAGAGAGCAGGCTTTCCCCACCTCTCCAGATACTGGTGCCAGCAAACCTCCTTTGACTCCCGCTGTGTGCCTGGGGCTCTTTGTTCATTAACTCCTCTCATTACCCCAGAGCACATCCGCCAGTGAGGAATCTCAGGCCCTGCAAGGTAAGAGCTTACCGAGGTTCACACTGCAAGGACGCGGCAAAGGGGGAACCAGAATTGGGGCCGCCTGATTCCAGGATCTTATGCAGTCACTATGGCTGGGCCCTGAGGTCCCAGAGATGCTAAAACGCAGCCCCCCACGGTTCCATGGCGGCGTCAGAGAAGGCAATGTTCAGAGAGGAGCGTGTGCATTTGAAGTATGCTAAATTAGAAGTCGGGCAATAACGAAGACACTCATAAGTCTCACTTTAGGCCCCAAATGTGAAGTCATGCAAATCCTGTTACAGTTATTTCGTGAAAACACTAGACTTGAGTTAGGAGAGTTTGACATTATGAGACATTCAAGAATATGTCCCCCGCACGAGGTGTGGAAGCCTCGGCTGCACCCTTGTTTGCCTGTGTCCTGAAAAGCTCCCTGTTGTTTGCATGCGCAGGCACTGTGGCCAATCGTTTTAGTCGCTGTTGGGCTGTTACTTGAGTGTTCTCTGATGTTGTCAGTTACAGTCTGGTTTATTCAGGCAAATAAACCCACACCATTTGGATCAGAATAGTGGTTACCCCAGCAGTAGTGACTGGAGGGGAGCACAGGGGGTTCTGGGGTTATGGAAATGGCCAGCTTGATCTAGACTCTGGTTGCACGACTGTGTTCAGTTTGTAAAAGTGCAGAAAGCTGTACATGTGCACAGAAAGCAGTCCTTGAACCATAGCCACCAAACCCAGGAATTAGGGAGCAGTTCTCGGACCAGTGCTGAAAAACACCCCCCAAAGACTAACTTGAGAATGGGAGTCAGACGTGGTAAAACACTGTGAAGAAAGCCAGACAAATGACCTGGAACATCAGATCAGATTTACAAGCAAGCCCTCTTTAAAATACTAGAGATAATCCTCAGAAACTAAAAAGTTGCTAAAAACAAAACTATGCCACGGTGGCGGTAGATCTATGCACTCTGAGAACTCATCTGCCCTTTACATTTATCCCTTTAAGAATATATGCCTTGAATTATGCAAGGTCTCCAGGGACCAAAGCCTCTTGTATGCTTTTCCTTGTATGAATTACAACATACCACAAACTTAGTGCCTTAAAACAACACCCATTCATTAGCTCATAGTTTTGTGGGGCAGAAGTCTGACCGGGCTCTGTTCCTGGTCTCACAGAGCCACGGTCAGGTGCTCACTGGGCTGTATTCCCTTCTGGAGACAAAGAAGGGGATCTGTTCCCAAGCCCACTCAGGTTGTTGGCAGAATCCAGTCGCTGCAGCTGTAGGATTGCGATCCTCACTTTCTTTCCTTTTTTTCCAAGTGTTTCTCAATCTTTATTTTTCCTTTTTGTTGAATTTATGGGAGTGACACTGGTCAACAAAATTATTCAGGTTTCAGGTGTACAGTTCCACAAAACATCATCTGCACACTGTATTGTCCATTCACCGTCCCAGAGGTCCCCGTTTTCTTGCTAGCTGTCAGCCAGGGGCCACCCTGTGCTCCTACGGGCCTCTGCATTCCTATCACGAGGCTCCTCCACCTTCAAAGTCAGCAACCGTGACCAGAATCTTTCTGATGCTTCAATTACTTTGAAAGGGGCTCCTGTGGTTAGAATAGACCCACCTAAATAACCTTCCTGTCTTAAGGCCAACTGTGTCTACACAGTAAGTCCTCATGTCATAGATAGGTTCTGTGACTTAATGAAATGATGTGTAATGAAACCAATTTTACCATAGGCTAATGGATATAAACAAGAGTTCAGTTTCTACTTTTGTAGCATCTCATCAATGTTACAACACAATGACATGGAGTGAAACGTTATCCAAGGGCCCACTGTATATGTAATCATATATAAAATTAACTACATGTAACAAAACTGGGAGGGTGATCCCTCATCATATTAGCCAGTTCCAGGTGACAGTGTGGAATCTTGGGGGCCACTCTGAGGACTCTTCCTACCACACTTCACACAAAGTGACCCTGTCCCCTCTGAGTACATTCCCTGTAGGTTGTGGAGCATGTGTGGAGAGTTATTCACACAGGCTGAGCTCCAAACCTGGGACCCCCACCTCCAGGGCAACTGAGAAAGGCTCCCTAGAGGGATCTGTAATGTCGACCTGGAAGAACAGGTCGAATTTTACCAGTGGGAATTAGCAAATGACCCTGGGGAGAGGAAACAGTAGCAGAAGAGAAATGGCCAGAGAGGTAGCTTGGGCCACCCTGAAATGGGCCTTGACTCTCAGGGTGACATGTTTTCAATGTCGTTCAAAACCACAGAGGTCTCCAAAGTAGGGGACATGCACCCCAGGGGATCACAAGATCATCTATTAGTGTGGCAAGAAAACATTAGAAACTTATTTATATTTTTTATTCCTTTTCTTTAGATTTCTACTTGGAAATATATTTATAAAGTACATGATGGACGTGTATACAGTGGTCCATGTGTATTAGCAATCTATTACTGCAAAATGATTGCTCCAAAACTTAGCAACTTAAAACAAGGGCTATTTATCATCTCACTCAGTTTCTGAGGGTCAGGAAGCTGGGTGCAGCTTAGCTAGTTGTTTTTGATTCAGAGTCTCTCATGAGGCTGTAGTCAGGATGTCGTTTGAAGATTTGACCGAGGCTGGAGGACCAGCTCCAAGGTGATACTCACATGGCTGGCAAGTGAATGCTGGCTATTGGCAGGAGGCCTCAGCTCCTCACCCCAGGGGCCTCTCCACAGGGCTGCTTGAGTGTTAGCACAACATGGCAGGTGACTTCTCCCAGAGACAGTGATTCAAGAGACAAGATGGAAGCTGCAATTTATGATCTAGCCTCAGAAGTAACTCTCCATAATCTCCATAATTTCCTAGTGGTTGTACAGTCAGCCTAAACAGTATGGCAGGAAACTACACAAGTGTGTGAATACCAGGGGGTGAGAACAGTCATGAACCCTTTTGAAGGCTGGACACCACAATTTGTACAGAATTATTAGGAGAGTTGAGTACATATTGGGGAACACACACCCAAAAACATTTTACTGATGGGCCCCGGAACAACAAACTTAAAGAGTGACTACAGACCATGAGGCTCATGGAAAGTTTGCAGGCAGGGTAGTGGCGAAGTCAGATCCGTAAGCTAAGCAATGGCCTGGCCTTGGGATGGGTAATGGGTCAGGAGTGGGTTACTGAGAGGCAGGGAGTTCGGTCAGGAGGCTGCTGGGTTGGTCTCAGTGAGAAACTGTGAAGCTGGGGGCCAGGCAGGGAAAGTCACTTGGGCAGGACTTAACAGAGGAATGGAGCGGCCCCGGTGGCTGCTGAATATGCAGAGAGAGAGGAGGGGATGGGGCAGGGGGGAGACAGCAGTGCGCCTGACCAGGGTCCAGAAGGATGATGGAAATGGGTCTGGAGTCCACAAAGATTTCTGGGCTGGAGACACTGAAGTCATAATCTCGGGTGTGGCCCAATGCGGCAAAGTGCCTGTGATGACTTCCACCCAGTGAGAGGGCACAGTGGGAAGAAAACAGCCCAGGACAGAGCCCTGCCAGTGGGAGAAGCAGAAGAAAGAGCCCCAGGATTGCGAGTCCTACAAACTGGAAGAGGAAGTGACCTTCAGGGACAGCTCTGGGGACCCCAAGTGCCAGGCTAAAACCTGCCAAGGAGCCCTAGCGGGTTTGCTCAGTGTTAGAACATCTCCCGCAGACTGAAGGGTCCTGGGTTCTATTCCAGCCAAGGGCACATACCTCAGTTGCAGGCTCAATCCCCAGCTCCGGTCGGGGCTCAAGCGGGAGGCAACAAATCGATGTGTCTGTCTCACATCCATGTTTCTCTCTCTCTCCCTTCCACTCTCTGAAAATCAACAGAAAAAATATCCTTGGGTGAGGATGAAAAGTAATAAATAAGTAAGTAAGTAAATAAATAAATAAATAAGAGTCAGGGAGAGTGCTTT